TAAAAGAAGATGGAAAGAATATACTGAGTCACTGTATCGAAAGGAATTGGAAGACACAGAAGAATTTCATGAAACTACATATAAGCAAGAGCCTATGGTGACGAAAAAAGAAGTTCAGGCTGCTTTGAAGGAAATGGCAAAAAATAAGGCTCCAGGAATAGATGGTATACCAATTGACGTATTTCAGTTAACAGATGCTGTTTTATAGTATTTTATAAAATTAAAACTTCCTTTTTGCTCATTTTTTATTAGTTCATATTTATCTTTTTAAAATCTTTTTCCACTATTGTTGTTATTGTGTATAGAGTTGGAAACGGCCCACAGCTGGCATCTAGCAGGTTGTCAGAGGCCGTTATTCACACAGGAGATTTCCCATCCTTCTCCCAAGGAGCAGTTGGAAGCCACGTGCCTTCAGGATTGCAGTGCAGCTTCTTGCCACTAGGCCACCAGAGCTCCCTACCCTAGTTTTTTATTACAAAAGTAATTCATTTTTTATCAAGAATTTAAATAGAAACTATTTTTCTTTATCTTTTTAATGTTATTACTTCATAATATATTTGTCATGAATAATTATTTTTAAGCACTTGTATAAAGCTTAATATATCAACATTTTCTTTTATGACTTCTGAGTTTAAGAAAGGTCTATCCTACTCCAACCGTGTTTGTTTTTTTCTTTCTCATGTTCCTAATAGAATTTTTAAATACATCTATTTTTAAATATATGTGAGTTTGATTTATGGAAAATTGGTATTTTCAATTTTATAACTGAGGGAAAATACAATTAAGGGATGATCATCTTTTAGAATAGAAATACAAACACCTCTGTTTCATAAATCTACTAATTGGTTTTCTTTCTTTAACTACTTATATCAATCTTATTTGATCTTAACATACAGATATACTTGTACCTCCTTACAAAGAGATATAATGCTTACATTTAACATTTTTTTCAATGATAAATTTTTTTTAATTCATCTTACATTGCACATACACTGTCTTCTCTGACTTAGACAACAGCTTCCTTGGCAGGTAGCCAGGACAAGTATTGTTCAGATTTTACATAAAATAAGATGGGAGGCTCAAAGAGGCTTATGTAACTTGCTCAGGGTGAAAGATTTTATGACTCTCAGCTAGAAGAACAAACAGGTTCATCTTGGAGAGGGTGAGACCAGGACGCTCCTTGGGGGCAAGGATTCCGAAGCTTCGTCTGACATACTGTGGGCATTCTGCAAGGAGGGACCAGTCCTTGGAGAGGGATGTCATGCTTGGGAGGGTGCAGGGATAGTGCAGGAGAGGAAGACCCTCGATGAGATGGATCGATTCAGTGGCTGGAGAAATGGGGGTAGATGTGTCAGAGACAAAAGATTGGCACAGGACAGCACAGGGTTTAGGACTTTTGTACATAGAATTGCCATTCGATGGCACATAACAACAACAAACAATTATATTGTAATGCTTCTCACTCTTAGGTTGATAGGTGAAGTGTCACTATAAAGGTTTTATGATTTTCTCAATAAGGATGGTTGAATGGCCTCTCAAACACCTGACCAATCTAAGGATCAAGCCTTTCTCCCCATTTCATACATAATTCGATTACTTCTGTTCTAAGTGAACAATTTACTTATATGATTAGAAAACACTATGCTAATTTATTACTTGATCAAAGCCCCATCTTTCACAGCTCTCACTGTACAAGAAACTTGTTAGTCTGAACGTTTTTAAGTCCAAAATAAAACTCTAATGTTTTGTGCTATCAAGTAAAATTTTTTTTTATTGGGAAAAACCATATTGGGGGTACAAGGAGGTGAGGGTTGGGGGCAGAAGGGTGAGGATGGGCGGGGATGCAGTTGCAGAGCTGCAGAAATTGGTTGGTGGGGGAGCAGGTGAAGGAAATGAAAATGATCCAGCGGGGACCAGATGCTACAGGAAAATGACAAGCATTTTCCAATGGTATTTAAATCAACTGTCTATTGATTTGGGAACTGGATGCTGACTCTCTGGCTTCTTCATGCTGAACAGGGGTGTTGATGTGAAGGGGGAAAGGGAGGACAGTTTATCACCTTACTGGTGAACTTGGGTTAAGGCTGCTTGCCTTCTGCTATCAAGTAAAAATTGAGTTACCTTCTGTTTTTTCATTATGGTGAAGAATGTCATCTGGATTCTTTCTACCTAAAGATCTGTGTAGCAGAAATCTAGACCTGATTTTAGCCCCGGGAAAGCAAACTAGGAAAGAACTCAAAAACTCAGCTTTTTTGATAGAATGGATGATTCGGTTGGCTCTTTTCTGCCTCTAAGTCTGTTGACCTAGAGATGTGGATAATGATAGGGCTTCAATATGTCATTATTTAAAATTTTAATCCATTTGGTATTTATCTCTGTTACACTTTATATCCTGGAGAGGGTTAAACCAGGCTGCTCCTTGGAGGTAAGGATTCTGTGGCTTTGACATACTTTGGACATGTTATAAGGAAGGAACGGTCTTTGGAGAAGAACATCATGGTTGGGAGGGCAGAGGGACAGCGCAGGAGGGGAAGACCCTCTATGAGCTGGATTGATTCAGTGCCTGGGGTAATCGGGATGGGTGTGTCAGAGGCAGGGCGATTGGCACAGGATAGAGCAGGGTTTAGGGCTGTTGTACATAGGGTCGCTATGAGTTCGCAAGCGACTCGACAGCACATAACAACAACAACTCTTTATATCACTTTCAGAATGTTTCAATACATTTTTAATGATTTATTTTGTTCCCGCTGATATGTAATAGAATTTTTATCACATATTACAGCCTCATGTGTATTAGGTCCACTTCTGAAATATCTCCGTATTCTATTACACAGATATGCTTTCCAAACATCTTAGTTGTCCTATTTTAATTATATTGGCTTGATAATATATTTTAACATTGGACAAGTTTATTTTCTGAATATTGTCCTTGGGTATAGAAATCCAAGTTTCAGTCTCAATAATATAAAATATAAATACTGAGCTGTATTTATTTCTATGTATATTCATGTATACCAGGTATTTGTTTTTACAAACTAAAAATAATCAAGCATAAAATTGAACTAACAACAAATTTTTTCAGAATATTGAATTCTAGTTTTTAATTGTAATAATCATTAATCAGGGGGAAAGACTTTTTCTCTGTGTCTATGAGTAATGGATATTGTCCTGGATGATTTACTTAGAAAAAATATTTTATTGCTTATCCTATAAAAATGTAAAGTATCATCTCTTCTGTACATTTAAAAGCTTAATAGAAACTGAGGCATTACTTTTTTATTTTTTAACCTCTATCTATTTTTGCCTATTCTTCACACTCCAGAGAAATGTTGGGCATCATTACATAAACATTCTCTGGAAACACTGGTCCAGATACTTAAAAAAGCTGTTGTCTCTCAACTGATTTGTTGGACTGAAGACAATCAGGATAACTCTAACATAAAAGCTGTTCTAGGAATGGTGAAAGAAGTGTATAAGGTAAGCCTCCTCCAAATGATTGGTATACCATTTGGTTAAATCCACCTCTCTTCCTTCTCAGCCAGCTCTTCTAGTAAGATAAGACAATTATTATAGAATATAATTTATAGTTATTAGTTTTTAAAGTAATATATAAAAGGGAAATATTTGCAAGAAAACAATTATAGATTTAAAAAGAGACAACTTTTGAATACCAAGAACAATACTGTGTGATGGGCTTCATTCCTTGAGAGCACACAGAAGTTACTGCTCTTCACAATGTGCACAGATTTCTCAGTAACGAGCAGAAAATTAATCCAGTCTAAATTCTAGAATGCACTTACTTTTTTCTTGCTATTTAAGTGAATGTTTACAAAGTAAACTGGCTCTTCATTCAAATGATCATACACATTTTGTTGTGTGGTTTTACTTACAGTGCCTACAATATGATCCCATTCTTCCCACTTCCTCTCTGTGATTCTTGTTTCCATTAACCCCTTCTATGGTTCATTTATATGGATTTCAATCACAAGCAAAGCTTATCTACAATGAAATAAGTCAGAGCAGTAATTATGTCTTGGCTGGAATGGTGCTTAAGTTGAAAAAGAGGATGAAGAAGCCTACTATAAGCTTCTGATGTATTCCATTATTTTATCTGGGTGGTGCTTATACAGGAGTTTATAAATGTTAAAGCTCTTTAAATTGTATGTTTAAGGACTTTACTGAATATGTAAAGTATGTAAAATATTTATGTTATATCTCAAAGCTATCTCTCTTATTACTGTTGAGTTGGAACTGATTTATAGCTGACTTTGTGAGGGTAGTTAGAGCCTTAGATTGCCTATCTTCCTCCTGGAAACAGCTGCTGTTTTTAAACTCTTGCTTTTGGGTTGACAGCACAACTCCTTGCCCACTAGGCCACCAGACCTCCTGTGTCAATAAAAATAGAAGAAAAGATTTGCAGAAGACTATGGCCTGAGCAACTGAGAGTTGGACAATGACTAGGGAGGACAGAAGGAGAGTGGATGCTTTTGAGCTGTGGTGCTGGAGAAGGGTACTGAATGTACCCTGGACTGCCAGGAAAAAAAACAGATTCATCTTGGAGAGGATTAAACCAAGCTACTCCTTGGAGGCAAGGATTCTGGGGCTTCGTCTGACATACTTTGGACATGTTGCCAGGAGGGACGGGTCCTTGGAGAGGGACATCATGCTTGGGAGGGTTGAGGGACAATGAAGGAGGGGAAGACCCTCTATGAGATGGATTGATTCGGTGACTGGGATAATAGGGATGGGTGTGTCAGAGGCGGTGCGGTTGGCGCAGGATAGAGCAGGGTTTAGGGCTGTTGTGCATAGGGTCGCTATGAGTCGGAAACGACTCGACGGCACATAACAACAACAACAACATGGCCTGAGCATGGGAGCTCTGCTGGCCTAATAGTAAGAAACTGTGCTATAATCCCAAAGGCATATGGTTCAAATCCATCAGCTGCTCTGCAAGAGAAGGATGGACAGTCTCTTCCTGTGTGATTTACTGCCTCTGAAAACTTTGAGTCAGTTCCAGCTCAACAGTAAACAACAACAATGGCTTGAGCAAAAAATGAATACTGCTCGATCTTGTGATTCAGACAGCCTACATTAGAATATTTGTTAAATGTCACTATGGGAGGATCAAGTGAAGCCATCAGGATTTTGCATCCACATGTTGTGTGGCCTCAGGCGCAACTGAGAATAAGAAAATCTATTCTAGTAGGGTTACCTGGAGCCAGTAGCATCCAAAGTCAGAGGGCTTGATTTCATCCTCAATTTATTCTAGGGCAAATAGGAATCAAATAGTACTCTTATACAGAACTAAGAATAAAAGCATATTAGAGGAATTTATTTACTCCCAACAGAGATCAAGGATTTTCAGAAGAGCTCTTAAGTGTCAAAGATGCTCTCCAGTAGTAAGTTTGGTTATATACCGACTGGTACTGCTGTCAAAGTGTAATCTGCATGCACATCTATGTTTATTGCTGCATTGTTCACAATAGCAAAGAGGTGGAAACAACAAAAATGCCCATCACCAAATGAATGGATAGAGAAGCTCTGGTATATTCACACAATGGACTACTATGCAGCATTAAAAATCAAGGAACTCATAAAATATTACACAAAATGGGTGACCCTGGAGGACAGTATAGTGAACAAAATATCTCAGTCACACACACACAGACACACACACACACAAAAAAAATATTGCATAATGCCTCTTTTATAAAACAGGACTGACATGAGGGTTGGGGAAAACTAGGAAAAGGGGGGATAAATATGTACACTGCATTGAAACAGATGAGGGAAAGAACTATTTAAAAGGAATATATGATGAGATATTATTTATATGACAACAGTCCAGAATAAGAGCTGCATAGCAGAGTGGACAAGGGGAAGAAAAGGGGGAAGGGGGAAATTGTTCAACAATGAAAAACCTTTTTTTCAAAAAGAAAAGCAAGCTGGGGGAGTAGGTAGGGAGGAAAATATGCAACAAAGAATGAATGGAAATCCAAGTTCTCTATATCCTTTTATTAAAATCTCACTTCAAGTTAAAAAATTTCAATGTAATCTACATTTTATATGTTTCAGTAAGCTGTAGTAATTTGTCCTGAGAGCCTACATTTCTAACAAGCTCCCAGAGAATGCCAGTGTTGTGTGTTCAAGGACCACATAAAGTTTGAGTAGAAAAGATTAGTGTCTAGAAATGAGGGTAGTTTTTATAATGAGCCTTTGAATTGTCTTCACGATGGTAATGACTTGAGAATAAGAAAGTCTTACTTCTTTTTCTGACTATAGTTCATAATTGCAGTATATTGTTTTTATAATATTGACTGGTTCTTTAAGGGTAAACTGTAATTTCAAGTTTGTGCTTACTGTAGGGTTTTTTAGATACCTTTTTAAAAGATGAGATAGTTTCCTTTTATTCCTATTTTGCTAAGAGATTTTAGCATGTATGAATTTTATTAAATTGCTTCTGTATACAATTTTTCTCCTTTCTTCCCCTTACTATCCAAACTATAGATGACTTCTCAACTGTTTAACTACCCTTGCTTCCAGTTAGCCCACCTTGCTCATGTTGTTGTTGTTATGTGCCGTCGAGTCGCTTGTGACTCATAGTGACCCTATGTATAACAGCCCTAAACCCCGCTCTATCCTGTACCAATCGCACTGCCTCTGACAGACCCATCCCGGTTACCCCAGTTACTGAATCAATCCACCTCACAGAGGGTCTTCCCCTCCTGTGCTGTTCCTCTACCCTACCAAGCATGATGTCCTTCTCCAAGGACCTGTCCCTCCTTACAACATGTCCAAAGTATGTCAGATGAAGCCTCAGAATCCTTGCCTCTAAGGAGTAGCCTGTTTTAACCTTCTCCAGGATGAATCGTGGCAGTCCGTGGTACATTCAATACTCTTCTCCAGCACCACAGCTCAAAGGCATCAATTCTCCTATCCTCCCAAGTCATTGTCCAACTCTCTGATGCATAACAAGTGATTGCAAAGACCATGGCCTGTATTAGACCCACCTTAGTCTCCAGAGACACACCGTTGCTTTTGAGTACTTTAGAGAGGTCATACTTTGCTCATACTATGTTAATATTCTAAGATTATATAAAATAAGAGGTTATTAGCATAATGTGACTGAAAAAAAGGAAGACACCGAGAGCTACACAAGGGGTTATAAGCAATAATAATGTTGTTGTTACTGTTAGGTGCCATTGAGTCAAAACTAACTCATAGCTGATCCTCCAGTGGGTTTTTAGAGGCTATAAATCACATAGGTGGGAGACTGCCCATCTTTCTCCTGAGGAACATCTAATGAATTTGGATCATATGCCCTTGGTTGATGGCACAACTCCTTACCCACTCAACCATTAGAGCTTCCTCTTCCTATAAATAGACCACAACCCTTCATTACCAATGATGATAAATATTAATCTGCAACTAAAGTGAAAAAATATATCTCAATAGATTATGTTTGCTAGTATATTTTTGTTATGTATTTGTATCTATGTTGATAGGAAAGGTACTAGATTTTCTTATGTTCCTGTGAAGTTTCTGTGTCAAGGTTTCATGAAAAGACATGAGAAATATTCCGTTTTTCTGTTTTATGCAAAAGATTATGTAATTCCAGCATGACTTTCCCTTTGACAATTAGTACAATGAATCTCTGAACCCTTATAAATATGTAGATTTCTTAGTTGTTGTTGTTGTTACGTGCCATCGAGTCGTTTGCGACTCATAGTGACCCTATGCACAACAGCCCTCAACCCTGCTCTATCCTGTGACAACCGCACTTCCTCTGACACACCCATCCTGATTACCCCAGTCACCACATCAATCCATCTCATAGAGGGTCTTCCCCTCCTGCGCCGTCCCTCCACCCTCCCAAGCATGATGTCCCTCTCCAAGGACCCATCCCTCCTGGCAA